GCTTTGGTCTTAAAGTGTACTGTATTGGATGTAGCATATGTTCCATATACAACTGAGCAATCCCACTAATAGTACAATAGATACAGGTTTCCAACTAGCATTATTTCAATGAATATATGAAATTGAATATATGAAATATAGTTTCTTTTCATTTCGAGCAAGAAACCTTACCTTTGTAGGTCCATTCTGGGGTCCATTGAGTGCTTCCTGTTCTTTCTTCAATGCTTCCGCCTCAGCAGCTCTAGCCTTAGCCTTTCTTTCTTTATATAGAGCTTTTCTACTTTCTGGGTTGGGTTTCTTTTTTCCTTTACCCCTTCTTTTATCCCAAACTGCTGTATTGTCGGCTGCTTCTGCATTCTGAAAAAACAAATTGACATTTTGAGGACATTCTTAAGCCCATAAGAGTTAACGTAGTTCATAAGTTCATCATAAAACTTTACTACAATAACTAGTATGTCAGGTGTCTCTTACATTTTGCAGCTCTGCAACTGGGTTTCTCATTCTCCGGAATTAGCTTTAAGATAGTTCATTTGGTATTCTCATTACTCATGTTTATAACAAATAAAAACAACTAGACTTTATGACATGAACTAACACTTGGCTATACCATAAAAGCACTGTCAATGGCATCAGAATTATATTTGAAATCTACACCTTGCAGACAACCATCAAAACCGCTATAGGCTACCCAACTACCATTTGTCAATCAAAAATCAAAATGACTTACTTCTTTTTCTGGATTTTCTTCTGCAACTTCATTTTCCTCCTCTCCATCTTTTTGTTGATTATAATCTACAGGTTTACGTGAGCCGTCTGCTTTTATAAAATCTTCTAATGGTCTACGTTTTAATATGACTGTTACCGTGACAATAGATCCTGCTGTAACACTGTTATCTTCGTCATCTAATACTGTTAATAAAATAATCAATGTGTCACTTAAGTTTAAGGTTTCATTCTTGGATGATAATAAACAATATCACCAAGTGGTGTCTATATCTGCCAAGTGTCTTCTGGAGTGTTTAAGAGCAATTTCAGATACAGGGGTGACACTATTAATTAAATTTCATGTGGGTGAATAAAGAAGTAAAAGAAAGAAACAACAGAAACAAAGTGGTAGTAAAAATAAATATAGACAATGCCATACCATGTGTAATAAAGTAAATCATGACTGCAGCTATGATTAAAGTAGTAAATCAAGATAATAAACATAGGCCATGTGCAAAGAGATAATATTTGTAACAAAGTAATTACAAACCTTCAGTGTTGACTATCATTTCTACGTCAGGCATTTTAGCTAACACACTGATTACATCAAGATATTCATCATCACCTAAACTACGGAATAATGGTCGTCTTTCTTCTTCTTTTAATGTAGCTATATCTTTTAAACATCTCACTGGTTTCTACAATAATATAAATATACAGATAAATATAGCTAAATATAACTTACAGAGAGCTGAAATTAAGCCAAGAGGTTCTGAAATTGAGCTCCCTCTAGTTTATAACTTATTTTATAGCTTTCATTGGCTGATAATGCAAATACTTATGACAATATCCTTTCAGAAACTTTAATACTTATTTCAAATTCGGAGTATCAAAATAATTATATCTACACCCCATACACAAATATTCTAGGGTCTGTTTTCTTCCTTTACTTAAGAATCAATTGTAATACTGTCATTATAGAAAATGATCAAATCAAAATCTTTAAAAATCAAACAGTTTATTTCTCTAGCCAGATTGGGCAACATTTTATACATAAAATATAAGATGCTTAAAGTTTGGACAGGGCACAATCTGGCAAAGTTAATGGGTATATGCTAATTTTTGTTGGTAAAGAGTCTTTACTTTAGCATAACTTAAAGCATATGACATCATCATTATGTGGCGTCTCTTGGTAACGACTAGTTCATCAACAGTATGTATCGTGTAATGGCGTCATAGACTAGTGTAAAATACGTTAAATACTGACCTTTCCTCTGTTTAGTTGACGTAACATATCATTTGTCATATGAGGCAGTTGTAAGAAGGGACTAGCTTTCTCCTCTAGAGCCTGTACTACCATTTGACTGATCTTCATTATATTCTCTATGGTGTCTAATCTAGGGGCTTGATGAACTACAAAGAAATAAATCCAAGTTTTGAAATGAAAGAATGTGAGGTATTAAATCCTACCTTTCATACCTGATTTTACTGATAAATATCACAAAAATTTAATGAATCTACTTTTCGGACCTGTTTGGGCTAGAGAGAACAAAATTAAGCCAAACAAAGTCATACAGTGTGCAATGAAGTGTGCCAGAGAAATTTTGCTTCTACTTAGAGTAACTTTGCACGTCTCCTTAATGTTTCTAACTGTCTAGGGGTCTTTATGTAACATACCAACTATCTTATAGTACCATCAAATCAATTTGAATTTCAGATGAAACAAAACTCAACTTACTTCTACCAGCCATTGCCATTGAAACTTGATTAGCACAAATATTGACCATTTCATTGATAAGATATGTGCTTTTCTTTAATATATATTGTAAATCTGAAATATATAAAATAAGCTTACATAATGATTTATGAGATGGACATGGAAGATTTTTTTTTAGAGGAAATCACACTAAAGTGCCTGTTTCATTTTGAACTGATAAACCCCAAAGGGTAACAATATTATATAATAAATAACCTTGATGCTCTTCAATGAAATACCTTAAGACTTATCCAAAAACTGTTTTTATTTTCATGGCAATAATCAATGTAGCTTTTGTTGCAAAAACTCACCCATTTCCTGTTCATTAGGAACTGTTTCAATCCTCTGAAAGTGAGCCATTAATAAAGCTCTAGCTTTAACACTGTATGGATAACATAATGGTCTTTCTTTATTCTTCTCTTGCATATGTGGTAATAACTTCATCAGCTGGAATAGAAATTAAATGTAAATAAAATAGCAACCTCTATTATGTGATTTTTCTTTTCAGCAAACAGCAGGGGAAGATTCCAAAAATTTAAGAGCAGCTCCAAAAAGTTGAATAAGTGCAAATTTTTTGGAGTTTTTAAAAATGAAGATTACATCATAAAATGCATGACCTACATTCATGCATAT